GTGGATTCCCTAAAGTGGTAAACGTCTAAGACCTGCATCACTTTGGGCTTTCCTCCCACGTCAAATTGACACGCCGTGATATAACTGAAATACTCACTCCCCAAGTTAGGTTTTCTTCATTGTCGTAAAATATCAGCTAATGAGCCTGATTGGCCGGCTCCAGTTGTGCTTGATGCCAGACTGACGTTATACTCATGTCCACTCTGAGGTGGAGCTTTTACAAACAGTCTCCCACCTCGTCTCCCTTTCCCAAACTTGAAATGACACGTATATCATATACATAATGTGTTTATATTCACAGATATCCAAAGATGACAAAACTCCTCGCCGTTGTAGCCATGGCCATGCTGTTTGTGCTGCCCTACGCCCATGGCAATGGAGGAAGTTGCTACGCGCCTCCGTTTGTGTTCGGCTCGACGTGCAGGTCGGGTCCGAGTCCCCGGCTCCGCTACTCCGTCAGCGTCACTGGCAATGCGGGGACACAAGTGTGCTGTGAGGCCAGAACCTGTGACACCAGAGGCTGCAGAATGAGGAGTATTGGGTGTGGTAGCTCCACTTTTGGTTCCACTGTCCCATGGGGGTACAATATCGCCACCCCGGCTGTCAGGTGCAAGGGAACGCCTTTCGGAGCCTATATCCGCTTTTCACACTGAGATGGGATGGACTTCCGGGTTCTTCCGCTTTACCCACTTTGATGGGACAGGCTTTCAAGCTCATCCGCCGTTGACACCGAGACACGGTGGAAGCGATGTATGCTGAGTGGAAAAATCCAAGAACACTTCCAAACAAAAAGCTGAAATATTTTGTATAATGTTATACACCAAAGATGTCATATTTTATATCGGTTGTGAAAATAAAACATGCTAACAAAATATGCGTGCTGTTAATTTCAGTTTTTGTAATAAAACAAGATGCTGGTCACAACAAGCTCCTAATAGTGATACCTCCTCTCCTATATCTCTGTCGGGGCGGTCGGGTAGCCTAGTGGTTAAAACGTTCGCTCTTCAAGCCGAATGCCCGGGTTCGATTCCCGACATGGGTACAATGTGTGAAGCCCTTTTCTGGTGTCCCCCACTGTGATATTGCTAAAAGAATATTGCTAAAAGCGGCATAAAACCCATTTCCCCGAGGCAAGAGAGTTAACTGACTTTAAAAGATCATTTTCCACCCCAGTTGGCGGTATGGCTTCGTGGACATATTAGTTTCGTATTAGTTTCATATTAGTTTCAACAACATTAATTGATAAACATAGAAGGTCTTAAGTGAACTGAACAAGGCTATAGTCTGTAGCAATGTTCATAAGAATAAATGCCTGTCGTAGGATCTGGCTACAGTGGGGATCAGTGCCTCTGGATTGACTGTGTATTCCTTTCGGGTTATTGAGGTATGAGGTGCAAACAAAAGTGCATACAAAAGTTTGCACTGTTTTTTTCGATTCATACCTCAATATACCGAAAATAATACCCAGTCAATCCTTATAATTAAATTCGACAACCTAAACATGTGGTATCTACAGTAGGTTAATCAAAAACAATTATATGAAACAAAGCAGACAAAAATGACGAGACTGAAAAACATTTCAGGGGTAGGAATACACACTGCAAGAGAGCCTGCACGTTGTCTTTTTCCTTTCCGACCGCCTCTGTGGTCTAGTGGTAGAGCGTGCGCCCAGAGAGCGGAAGATCAGGGGTTCATACCAAAAGACATAAACAATTGGTACTTGTTGTTACCCTGCCTGGCGCTCGGCATAAAGGGGCTAAAACAAGGACTGGTCGGCTCGGAGTCAGTATACTGTGTCTGAGTGGGGGATGTCTGAGTACTGCGGTGCGCCGTCAAACAACACACAAACACATACTTTTTATGCAAATTCTGTGAGTGACGGTGCTACCCGTCGAACAGGACGTGCTTACCCTTTTCGAGAACACCTGGTGTCATCACCGATTTTCAACGACCCATGCATATAATTTTAACCAGTTTTGACTTTGAACAAACCAAGACGCATGTAGCATACTGGTCAGCGGTGAACTTCAGTGTAGAACATGATGCTTGTCGGCAACTTCACGCATATCACATGTTGTAGATAGCGTGTTACCATGTTACGCTACAAACTTTCAGGTTCATTCTAGCGCTATTAAATTGACATGTTGTAATAATGCTAATTTAAACGTGCAAAATGAAAAACTGTTCCGTTTTCCAGGTTTCAATTGAAACTTTATATCCCTCAGTGTTCTCTGTTTCTAGCATCAGTGTTCTTTCACGCCGAAGTTAATTGCTTTTGTTTTGTTTAACGCCGCACTCAGCAGTATTCCAGCTATATGACGGCAATCTGTAAATAAGCAAATCTGGACTAGACAATCCAGTGATTGGCATTATGAGCATGCATCCGCGATATAGCGATGACATGCATCAACCGAATCACCGAGCCTGACTACCCGATTCACTTAGTCAGCTATTACGACAAGCATATGTTGCTGGGCACCTTATTGTTATCCGCAATGTCCACGCGTTCGAGGTTAATTATTTCTTAGCAAGGAATATGAACTGGGATACCAATCTTGACCCAGGCAAAAGAATTTCTGTCTTGATTACATGCGCCACTGACTTCACCTGGAATAAAATATATCATCTTAGATACTGCCCATACGGTTGCAGATATACCTAGCGGACTGAACCGAGGCGTGCCAACCATTTCACAACCTAGATGGATATGCGCAATGTTGAACAGTGATCTTCAAACTGTGAATGACATGGGGTGTGGTAATAAAATATAATTGTTAACGTTTGTTGCTTTCACACGTTCTCATTATGGCATATCTCCGTGGGAATTCGGGTGTTGAAATTCCCTTCTGAATTCTACTAACTTAATTAGCGACAGGTTAGTAAACAGCGAATTTACTATTATGCCTGGTAGAATGCACGCGGCAGAGAGAAGGGGTATCATTCTGTTTCGGCGTCAAAGCCACATGACATTGATCACTTCCGTCTTGGTCATTGTCATGCTCGCCATATTGAGACAAACAAGGAGATTATTATGGATTAGGTGTACATTGGCTTTGTGACGTTGTTGATGTTAGTTTTTTCATGTGTGACAAAAGTATGAACTTTATAGCATGTACCCAATGAAGAAAGGGTGGTTAAGCCCCCTTTACACGACTGCGACCTTTGTGCCACCTTTGACGAATAAAAAACTGGCCAGGACGCTCAATGGTCGCCTGAACCCTGAAAATCATGTATCTATGTAACTGCTCCAGCAGTTGTTCAGCAGTAACGGCTCGAGTTGTTCAGCGTCTGCAACCACAGTACAAGCCCTCTGTTTATAGGCAGACTGTGGAGGCATTACAGGTAGCTCAAAGGAGGTAAAAAAGAGGCAGAAGCATTGCCATGGTGTCTCAAGGGTTGCAGTGGTCGCCGAATGGAGGCACGGCGGTCGCCACAGTCATCGTTCAATGCACGCTGTTGGTCGCCCAAAGGAGGCACAGGGGAGGCAGAAGCATCGCCCAGATTGACAGGAAAAAATTGCAACAGAACGCATCTTTTACCTGGCGACCATTCGACGACCACTGTGCCTTCATTCTGCAACAACGGCAATGCTTGTGCCTCCCTTCTGCCTCCTTTGAGACACCTTGAGGAACCAGCCTCCTCGGCGACCTTTGTGCGACTGTTTTGAACATGTTCAAAAATTCACGGCGACCATGCCGTCCATGGCGATGTCTGGACCTCCCGTGTACCACCTTGGAACGACCTCGGCAACCATTCTGCCTCCTTTGAGCCTCCAACGACGACCTGGCAAATTTTATGGTCGCACACGAGAGGCACAAAGGTCGCCATCCTGTGTAAAGGCCCCATTGGATAAGTTTGCCAGTGTAAAACAAGATTTCTTTGGACAATATTCCAGTTATATCACGGCCTGTCAGCTTAATGTGGGAGGAAAGCCCGAAGTGATGCAGGTCTCAGACGTTTACTACTTCGGTGAAACCCACGAGCACGGGTATGCTGCTGACAAACCTAGAAACATAATCGGGGCGAACCGGGATTCGAATCATAGGTTTCTGGCGTGCCAAGGGACGCAACTCTGCACAGCGAATCGCGGCGCCTTAGACGACTGGGCCACCCGTGCCCACCAGAAGATTATGAGATTTGTAAATATCACTTATTTAATTAGTATAATTCACAGCTTAAACCAGTAGTTCTTTGAAAGATGTTTAGTAATATCAAGTAAGTGATAAGTAAATGAGTAAAGTCTGCTGACATGTTAGTGTCTGACTGGACGGTGAAATTCACGAACATCGGTTTGTTGTAGGTACAACATAGCCTACGACTTCAGTATTGTGTGTGTTTTTACAATGTAAGAGTTAAAGTTGTTATACACTATCAGAGCCTAGAAGTTCAGGCTCAATAGTGCCTTTAACAGGACATCATGAAAGCGAATCAGCATAGCGTGGGGGGAAAGCCCGAAGTAATGTAGCTCGCGATAGTCCTTTTGGTACTTCGAGGCAACCCATAACTGCAGGTCTGGTGCTGACGGACAATGGGTCATAATCGTTTTGTTTTATTTGGTTTGTTGTTTAACGCCGCAATCAGCAATATTCCAGCTATATGACGGCGGTCTGTAAATAATCGAGTCTGGACCAAACAATCCAGTGATTGATATCATGAGCATCGATCCACGCAATTGGGATACAATGACATGCATCACCACCTGACAACCCGAACCCGTTAGTCGCCTCTTACGACAAGCATAGTCGCCTTTTACGGACAGCATTTGTTGCTGATGACCTTTTATATCCCGGAGGGCGACTCTGGGATTCTGGCGGGTCAGCTTGTACAGTGAGTGGGGACGTCATACACCACTGATGGACTATTATCTGGAGACAAATGCAGGATTCTTTGAGCAACAAGTTCTGTCCATGCTTGCATATTATTTTAGGAACTTGAAATAAACACATGTTTGGTATGAGTCTTCTATAAAATATATCAGGTCAAATTTGCTTTTTTATTTTTATGCTTTTATTTGCCAAATATTTTCACGCTTCGTGGAAAAGTCATTTCATTTGCAAATAAATGGGCAAATGTGATAATACATTAAGCTTTAACACGAATAATGCCAAAAAACAATATTCTGGCTATCAGAAAGAAATCCCCAGTCGTCTTTGACAACTTTCTCCAGGGTCGCTCTGGTGGTTTTCTGCTGACCGGTGACGATAGCAACGGCTTGTCCATCACTTATGACGTCACCAATACCGGGCGTAGATACTTGACTCCAGCAGGAATTTCCTTTCAGATAGGATGAGTTAGGGTTACCCCATTCACCGGCTCCTATTGGACTGGACCACCAGTTGTTGCTGGAAACAGTAAAGAGGGTTGGGGAACCTCATTCACCCAGCTTATCCCCTTCCAATAATGTATTTTCACTTGGATCAAATTGCAACAGACTTTATTTCACCACAATGCATTTCTACAAGGGCCCAAGAACAACATACTTAAAGTCCCAAGCAATCCCAGTTTGGGAAATATGTCTAATTTGCATTATCCAATATGGCCACCAATTATCAACACATCGTCAGATATTTCAGATGAGGTTCAATCTTTTGATGAAAAAATGCATGTGTTGTATTGCAAAATATCCAAACTATGTTTCTAAAATGATATTCACGAGAGCTACTGAACGTTTTCGACTATTGACAAATCTCAAATATTCAAGATGGCCGTCGATTTCAAGATGGCCGATACATACATACATACATACATACATACATACATACATACATACATACATACATACATACATACATACATACATACATACATTTGAGGAACGATGACTCCTGCCTTCTTGAAGACATCAGCGACGAAGATGCTGTTCTTGTTGGTGTCCTTTCCAGTTTTGTAGGCGGATTTGAACGACCATTGTGTGCTGTCCAGATTTCGGTCAGCTATTTTCTGTATGGTGGTTCCCGAGACACGAGTCTTCAACCATGACTATGATTATTTTAAATAAAATATACTCATGAATTGAGAGAATGTGAATTCACTGTCAACGAAAACATCCTTATCGCTGAGAACTTTCCCGTTGAACTTAAAACCATTTTATATTGCAGTGTACATTCCATGTATTATATAACATTCCTCCGTTAAATTTACAGTCTTAAGTAAACATCCGCAAACATGACACATGTAGTCTGGGATTAATACTTCTTAGGAAGTCACTTGTCTCTGTCCGGGGAGCGGTTGGTAGGTGGTTCGATCCCCGTCCGCGTCATGCCAAAAGACGTTAAAAGGTGTTACTTACTGTTACCCTGCCTTGTTGCTACCCGGCATTAAGAGGCTAAGACAAGGACTGGTCGGCTTGGAGTCAGTATACTGTGTCAGTGCGGTATCCATGTTACAACTGGGGCATGGTATTTCGGTGGACAAGCAGTAGAAACCCGACTTTAGTCCAGACAACGAGACAGACAGACGGATGGACGGTGGGGTAGTTGGGCGGGCACGCACGCACGCACACACACGTGATTGAAGTGCGATGATCTTGAACGGGACGTTTGATCCCCATATCAACGCACCCCAATTCTAAGGAGACGTTGTGTGACAACCTGTTGTTTTTGTTTGTTTGTTGTTTAAAGCCGCTCTCAGCAATATTCCAGCTTTATGACGACGGCCTGTAAATAATCGAGCCTGGACCAGACAATCCAGTGATTGACAACACGAGCATCGATGCGTTCCTTGGTTGCTGAAGTCCGATTCTAACCCGGATGATAACGGAGGTCACTGCATGTATCGTTGTTTAGTGCACGTATGACTAAACATTTACACAGCATTTCCACTGGTCGAGAGGTCTGTCACGTGGCCGTGAATCTGATGCTCATCAGCGTATGAACGATACAGTTGACGCTCAAACGTTTTCCACGAGACTGAGGGCCAAACTGAATGAAGTCGGAGCTTCATGTGACCCAAAGATCAGAAACAACGCTTCTGTAATTATTCGTGCGAGGGATGCTAGGGAAAAGCACTTAATCGCGTGATGAAGGGCGGTCGGGTAGCCTCGTGGTTAAAGCGTTAGCTCGTCACGCCGAAGACCCGGGTTCGATTCCCGATATGGGTACAATGTGTGAAGCCCATTTATGGTGTCCCCCGCCGAGATATTGCTCGAATATTGCTAAAAGCGGCGTGAAATCAAAATCACTCACTCACCCCGTATCTTGGTAAGTGAATTTTTGTTATAATGATTACATATTGTTAGAAGATGCAAAAAGAGCTGCTTCGGGACCCTAGAATTAACAGGCATGTTTTTAAAAATTTCATAACATTTTTTGCAAAAAAATTATTCACTTATTAAAATTGCACTTTTTCCTATCAATATCGTTTGTATAAGAAGTATTTTGTTAGTAAATTGAAAAAAGGAAAAATCATCTTGATGATCACTTAAATACATTCATAAAAATTAAATACTCACAATTCCATTAACGCCAAGAATCCAAGCTCCAAAACAAATGAACGCTGTGCTTGCAGTACTACCCTTCATGGCTGTGCTGCATCAACACAACGCCAGTGTTATATAAAGATCAGGAGCGACGAGATCGACTCTGTCTGCAAGCACCCGGTGACAGCTGGTGAATTGTTTTTTACAAGGAACATGTGGCAGTGTACGTGTGTGTTACGATGTGCCTCGTTGATAACTTACAGACTGTCTATATTATACGTACCTATTACACAGTACAGCATCCAGTTACCGGCCACACGCTGTCCATTCCGTGTATCTGTCCCTGATTCATGACAAGATACAACACGTGTGAGGGTATCCTACTTTCATGAACTGTTGCGATAGTAACCTGTTCCCCGAATACACGCTCAGCTCGTATTGTGATGCCTCGTGCATGTACATCTTTCGTTACATGGGGTGTTGTGTTGATCGTGATTACACTCGGTGGTAGATAACAGGACAAGGACATGAATTGTACACCGCGAACAGCTGCAGAGTTGCTGATTTTGGTGTCGTGGTTAGTTGACTGGAGGATGATAATCGGTTTCTGATCGATAAAAGTTTAACATAGAGGGTAAACAATAATTTTGGCGTCAAAGTAAAAACTGGTTAAAATTATATTTATGTATCGATGAAAATCAGTGATGACACCAGGTGTTCTCGAAAAGGGTAAGCATGTCCTGTTCGACGGGTAGCACCGTCACTCACAATTTGCATAAAAAGTATGTGTGTGTGTTGTTTGACGCCGCACAACAGTACTCCTGCCATGCCACGGCCTGTAAACACTCGAGTTTTGACCAGACAATCAAGTGATCATGAACCAGACATTCTATCATTTCTAGAAGGATACATATCCTGGACATGGTGTCATGTTTTACTTATCGGCAGTAACAAGGCAGGAACAAGGTATAAATGAGATTTTGTCGTGCTACAACTACCAAGACAGTCAGCTGATATAATAAAATCAACAACCCAGACAGTGATAAACCAACTACCATCAACTCGAACAGCTTTTGTTTTGTTAAATATCTCGGAATATATACATCAGAAAAAGGTAAAACACTGATAGAAATCCTAAAATAGCCTAAAATTGACACACAATTGCTCAAATTTGAAGTAATGATGTTGTTTTTACTCTATAGCGCAAGATAACCCCCAAAGTAAAGAAATAAATATTGAACTTGTTATTGAGTGTCGGGAGCCCTTGCGTGCAAGATATAAGTAAGAGTTAGTTCAAGTTATAATGTAAAGGGTAAAAAAACTTGCCTAAACCATGCTCCATGTGCTCGGGTGAAATCACGTTTTACTGTCCAGCGAGAAAATGGTGGTTGCTACTTAACAACGTCCGGTTTGGCATGGACAGCGCATACCCACTGTGTATTGGGTCAGACCTGCCTCCGACTCACTCATCATTATTCCCAGGTGTGGACGGAGTGTCGAGTTGCTTATGCCCGAACTGTTTATTCTATTAAACATTACGCTTTCATATTTTGTCAAGATAAGAAATTCTTTTAGTGGTGACTTTGGAGGCTATGTTCACTATTGCGGAAGCGTTGCCATGGTACCCCGCACTATTGCAGTATTATTGTGAAAGTAATAATTTATTTTTTTTATAATTACATTTGTGTTGTGTTCATTGTAATTTCTGCATTCTGATTAGCTGACTTGGTCACGCGTTATTGCACTCATTTTCCAATGAATGTAAAAAAATAAAGCCACGCCCACTGAAGCGGACTACTTTCAACACTGTGACAAGTCGGGGAACCCGTTTGTCGAGAGACTTCCATTTCCGCTTATCTGTACTGTCATGCACGGGACCTTTTAGCAATATTCATGTATATTCATCGTCAAATCCATCCTTTAACGCCGAAGGAATGAAGGTGAAGTGGAGGTTAATGCAAGTTCATGGTGACGTGTGTGTCTGCTTGTACTGGACTAATGCCGATTGTATGCCGCAGTTTAACATGAGTACCCCTCTCAGACACAGTATACTGACTCCGAGCCGACCAGTCCTTGTTTTAGCTCCTTAATGCCGAGCGCCAGGCAGGTTAACAACATGTACCATTTTTTTACGTCTTTTGGTATGACACGGCAGGGTATCAAACCCTGATCTTCCGCTCATTGGGCGCACGCTCTACCACTAGGCCACAGAGGCGGTGGGAAACGAATGAAAAAGAAAACGTGCAGGCTCGCACGCAGTGTGTATTTCTATCCCTGAAATGTTTTTCAGTCTTTTTTTTATATAATTGGTTTTGATCAACATATTGTAGATAAAACATGTTTAGGTTTAAATATGAGGATTGATTGGGTATTATTTTCGGTTAATAGAGGTAGTGAGTGAGTGAGTACGGTTTTACGCCGCTTTTAGCAATATTCCAGCAATATCACGGCGGGCGACACCAGAAATGGGCTTCACACATTGTACCCATGTCGGGAATCGAACCCGGGTCTTCGGCGTGACGAGCGAACGCTTTAACCACTTAGCTCCCCGACCGCCCTCTTTGAGGTATGAATCGAAAAAACTGTGCAAACGTTTGTAAGAACTTTTGTTTGCACATCGGTTTTTCGATTTATACCACAATGAACCTCAAGGAATACAAAGTAAATCCTGAATTAAACCAAATTTTACGGCTTGATAATTTTATTAATCAATGTAATAGAACGTCCATTTTCCTCCCTGTCACTTCTCAAACCAAAGGGAAATAACTCTAATCGTAACCCTTGCTGATCGACAGGGTAACACACATTGCAATCCTCTCAACAGAGATATAGTGGGTGAGTGAGTTGGGTTTAACGCCGCCTTTAACATTATTCCAGTTATATCGCGGCGTGTCGGCTTAATGTGGGAGGAAAGCCCGAAGTGATGCAGGTCTCAGACATTTACCACTTCAGTGAAACCCACCGGCACGGGCATGGTGCTGACAAACCTAGAAACATAATCGGGGCGAACCGGGATTCGAACCCACAATCATAGGTTTCTGGCGTGCCAAAGGGACGCAACTCTGCACAGCGAATCGCGGCGCCTTAGACGAGTGGGCCTCCCGTGCCCCCCGACAGAGATATAGGGGAGGAGGTGTCACTAGTGAGCAGCATCTTATTTTATTACAATAACTGAAATTAACAGCACGCATATTTTGTTAGCATGTTTTATTTTCACAACCGATATAAAATATGACATCTTTGGTGTATAACATTATACAAAATATTTCAGCTTTTTGTTTGGATTAAAAGGAAATGTTCTTGGATTTTTCCACTCAGCATACATCGCTTCCACCGTGTCTCGGTGTCAACGGCGGATGAGCTTGAAAGCCTGTCCCATCAAAGTGGGTAAAGCGGAAGAACCCGGAAGTCCATCCCATCTCAGTGTGAAAAGCGGATGAAGGCTCCGAAAGGCGTTCCCTTGCACTTGACAGCCGGGGTGGCGAGATTGTTCCCCCAAGGGACAGTGGAGGCAAAAGTGGAGCTACCACACCCAATACTCCTCAGTCTGCAGCCTCTGGTGTCACAGGTTCTGGCCTCACAGCACACGAGTGTCCCCCCATTGCCAGTGACGCTGACTGAGTAGCGGACCCGGTGACCCGGACTCCCGAAAATTGAAGTGTCCGAACTGCACGTCGAGCCAAACACAAACGGAGGAGCCCAGCAACTTCCTCCATTGCCATGGGCGTAGGGCAGCACCAACAGCATGGCCATGGCTACAACGGCGAGGAGTTTTGTCATCTTTGGATATCTGTGAATATAAACACATTATGTATATGATATACGTGTCATTTCAAGTTTGGGAAAGGGAGACGAGGTGGGAGACTGTTTGTAAAAGCTCCACCTCAGAGTGGACATGAGTATAACGTCAGTCTGGCATCAAGCACAACTGGAGCCGGCAAATCGGGATCACAAGCTGATATTTTACGACAATGAAGAAAACCTAACTTGGGGAGTGAGTGAGTTATATCACGGCGTGTCAATTTGACGTGGGAGGAAAGCCCAAAGTGATGCAGGCCTTAGACGTTTACCACTTTGGTGAATCCACGGACAAACCTGGAAAGATAATCAGAGCGAATCTGGGTTTCCAACCCACGATCATAGGTTTCTGGTGCGTCTAAGGGACGCAACCCTGTACAGCGAATTGTTGCGCTTTCTAGCGACTACCTGTCGTGTTATGAATTTACATGAGAAAAGTATGACTATAAAATGGAGTGTATTTATTCCGAGACAGTATACAAACTGTTTCTAAATTCCGGAATTGTGACTGTAGAATTCGGTTTGACGTGAATATATAGCCCCCACCACCATCTCCACAAAAAAAATCAAAGAATCAATTAATTAAGATATGTCAGTGGATAACTTTGATTGCTATTTTAGATTAGACTGATAGTTTAAAATTCATTAGCAATTTTGCATTTACATGTACGTGCAATTCGTCTCGACATAACATAGTGGGGAGTCTGCTAGCCTGCTAACTTTGTTTTAAATTGTCATTTTTCATTTTTAATTATTATAGGTGATTGCTTGATTGAATTATGAGATAAACGAGCTAAATTCAACATTTGAAACCTCACGTTGCGCGTTCGGTTCCAAGTTCAGTTTAGCGAGGTTAAATTTACAGGTAACCTAGCTCAACACTGAAAACACAGTATGTTTATCTCCATTCTACCATGACTATATACGGGGCGGTCGGGTAGCCTAGTGGTTTAAGCGTTCGCTCGTCACGCCGAAGACCCGGGTTCGATTCCCGACATGGGTACAATGTGTGAAGCCCATTTCTGGTGTCCCCCGCCCTGATATTGCTGGAATATTGCTAAAAGCGGCGTAAAACCATACTCACTCACTCACTCATGACTATATACAACGCGAACTCTTTGGTGTTAGCAAATCTATTGAGCGAAGTGTCACTGGTTGAGTCCAGCGTTTTGAGTGGGTTGTCGATCAGAACACGGGATCACCGACAACTGCCATTAAACAGAATATGGCGCTCTACATCACTGTATGAAAGAGAGAGAGAGATTCTTTATTTCCTCCAGAAGTTAATCCGAAGAATATGGCGCTCTACATCACTGTATGTGCTCAAGCAGTTTGTTTACAGCCTAATACTTCACTCGAACCTATGACAGGGACATGAAAGCATGTAGCACGGCAACGTCCTAAGCTATGAGGGAG